TAGTCAAGCACAAACTTGAGAAGTGACGAGCTAAGAGCTGCAAATGAAATCCATCTGTTAACCATTTGCAATAAATTAGAATTGCTTGAATGCGAGTAGAGTGGTCAGAGGGGACAGTGGACAGTTGAGAGTAGATGGTGGACAGAGTGGAGAGTGGCAGAGGGTACAGAGAGAAAAATAATGTGTGGAGAGTAAAGGGTGAATAGTTGACATTGAATAGAGGGAGTTCAGCTTTGGATAATAGCGGATAATATATAGTTGCTTAAGAATCGTGGGTAGTACGTGGATAACGGACTAGGGATAATGGATAATGGATAATGGATAGTGGATATCGGTTATTGGATAGTAGTGCATAATGGATAATAAATAATGAATATTGGACAAAGGCTAACGGATAATGGATAGTGGTTATCGGATAGTGGGTATTGGATATTGGATAGTGGATAATGGATAATGGATAATGGGCAGTTTATAATGACCAATAGATAATGGACAATTAATGATGGATAATGGATAATGGATAATGCATAGCTGATAGTGAGTCGACAGTGAAGAATCGACAGTAGATGGTCGATCGAATGGATGGTGTCAAGAGTGAAGAGGGGGTACAGTAGTACGGCGTGAGCGGTCCAAGTAATATTTCAATTTCCAACTACGTTTAAAGTTCCAAGTGAAGTCCGAGTTTCTTAAACCGTTTCATTGTCTGTTGCTCCGTTAACGATACAGCTAGCAGAGTTTCAGCTAAGAAATGGCCGCACTTCAAGTGCATGTCGTTTTGTTGGCAAACCGTTTGCACCATTAAAACTTGTGCCAATTGCCAAAAGAGAAAAAGAATTTTCCGAAGAAAATTTCAATTAAAATGACGCAACACGACATTTGCCACTGACAGCCAGCACCAGCACCGGCACCGGCAACAGCAGCGGCAACAGCAGCAGCAACTATTACAGGGCGTGACCTCTAACCCGCTCGCTCCTTCTCTCTGACCGCCGGCTCTCGTTCTCAGTCGAGCATGTCCAGCTGGCGCCTCAACGTGTCGCTGGGAGGAGGTAAAGGTGTGCGCTTGTCGTTTAAATAAATTATTTTTCTTCAAGGAAGTGCAATTAAGAAAATGCTTCATAAATTTTTGTAACTTTGTCCAGGACATGGCCAACTTTTGCAACCCTTTTGAAGGCAACGGTTCGGCCTTCCTCCGCTCCACTGCTTGCCCCTATCGGGCCAGTGGCCTCTCTCCAACTATTCAACTTTCAACTCCCATTCGCTGCGGCGCTCTCATTAGCTTGAAGAGCCACTTGCTGGCATTGGAGCACGTAGATTCAATTAGTTGATCTTAACGGCTCGCATTTCCGGTTCCGCTTATTGCGTGTGGCCAAAATGTTGAAAAGTGGCGGGAGCAAGGACTAAAATAAAAAATTAACTAATCGAATACACACACCCTTTCTGATGTGGGCTTAGCTGATGGCTAAATATAAATAACGGTTTTTACAAGGAGTGTCCTGCTCTGTTCAGTCGTGTCCTGTGTCCAGTATCTATTCTCGGTCCTGCCAAATTGAGTCGTTGTGAATTTAACCTAACCACCCAGCCAACACACACACACATAAAATTATCGACTTTTTCTAGAACACCCCTCCCCCTCTCGCCGCTTGCTAAGTAAATATCCTTGGGCGCACAGCTTGATAGGGTTGCTTATTTCATTGTATGTGATGTGCTTCCTATGGCTTCGCCACAAATTGTAATCAAATTTAATTGGTTCTGTGTCACAACTCCCACTACCATGCTCCCCCCCCCTACCTCCCTCCCTCCCCTCTCTCTTCTTGGCAACTTGTGTGGCTACCATGAAAGGCGCGGAAAAACTGTGCCAAGCTGTTTTTCTTTTGGCCCATCCAGCCACAATTTCAAGCTTTTGTTTGTCTCTTGCGCTGCGCGTGTCCTTTGGCAGCTCCAGCTCCAGCTCCAGTTCCAGTTCCAGTTCCAGTTTTAGTTATCGTTCCCGCTCACCCGCTGCCCTCTTCCCACTTCGCTGCTCGCTCCCCCCCGTTCCAGTTGGTTGACCAGTTGCGAGCCACTTAAATGAAATGCTTGTTAACTTAATAGAACTACATCCTGCCTCAAATTCGTAGCACTCCAGCTACCCCTCCCCCTCCATTACGAGCTCTTTATTTATTAATGATGGGCTTTACTTTAGACACATATACTATATATACGTGTATATATGTGTCCCTGTCTGTCTGTCTGTGTGCTTTTCTGTTTGTTCTCCCTGCTCATTATGTTATATTTGAGGGGTTGGCACATCGAATCAAATATGCAAGAACTTAAATACTTAGCGCTGCCAGCGAAATTAGTAAAGTATTTCTGTCTGCACTTGGCTCTTATATTATTTCGTCTCTCTTTCTTTTCCAAGAGAAGTCTAAGAAGTTTTTAATGAATTGTTTGGCCTATCCATTACACTTCATCAATTCTGTTGGCATGGTTTCAACACTTATTATTAATAAAAAAATATAAAAATTGTAAGGAATCATTAGCAAAGTTTCGCATGTTTCAAATTAACGTTAGCAATCGATAAGAAATGCTATCGAATTTCAGGTCTATTTTTAGATCCAATACGTAGAGTTACAGCACTCTTAATATCCAAAGACCAAGCGAATCATTGAATTCTTGTTTGCTCTTTGCTGATTGAAGCACATCGAAGACGTCTCAAGCATTAGCTGAACTAATCTATTAAGTGCTGCACGGATTCTGATTCAGATTGTGCGCCCGAAACGTTTTAAATAATGAACGAGCCGAAGACAGGCAGCTAAATCTACTCATCAATCAATCAATCAAGCAATCAACTTTGATAATTAAAATGTCTTTCAGACGGTGTTTTCTTCATTCATTTGTTCAGTGTAGGCTTCTTATAAATATTTATAGAACATGTGTCTGTGACTGCCTATGTGCATATGTGTGTGTGTGTGTGTGTGTGTGTGTGTGTGTGTGTGTGTGTGTGTGTGTGTGTCTGTGTGTGTGTGTGCTTCGCTTAAATTAAAAGCTCAACAGCCAAATTGAAGCACGTTCGTTGACGTTAATTTGTCCTGCCTCACATGAGTAATTGCGTAGGTATATGCATGTGTGCCTATATGAGTGTATAAGTATGTGCCTGTGTGTGTGTGTGTAGGTCCTTTTGTCTGCAGCACTGTGCCAAGACATCGGCCATAGACAACGTCAACGGCAAAGGCAACGGCAAAGGCAACGACTACGACAGCGACAGCGACTACGACATCGACATCGACATCGACATCATTAGGTCGCATTAGTTTACATGTCGAGCAGTCGACATTACCATGCTCCATTTCCCATTTCCCGTTTCCCATTTTATATTCGTGATTCCATCTGCTTTATTCCCATTCCATCTCTTTCTCTCTCTCTCTCGCTCTCCAATGTTTAATTGCATTGCTGAGCATTTAAAGGAGAAAAGCAATGATATTTTATTTTTCTTTTTGTCTTTGTTCTGATTGATTGGTTTATAATTGTTTGACTGATCGACTGACTGCTGTTGCTAACTGATTCTAAGTGCTTTCAATGCTAACAAATTGCAAAAGGCTTATGCTAATGGCATTGACTAGACGGCGCTGATTGATGGGCGCAAATAGAAGTGAAATGTAATTATGTTTGTGTGATTGAGCATGATTGACTGGGTATGCGAGGGAATTGTATTTGCTTAGAAATCTTATAATATATAATGGATCCTAAATCTTAGCTCTTTAAGTCCATATCCTAGATCCCACATACTACATCTAAGATGATAATTCACAAATGCTAGAGCATATATCATAGATCCTAGATCTTTGACGATAGATCATAGATCCTAGATCATACTGTATAACCCAGATTGAAGCTAGCTCTTTAAGTCCATATCCTAGATCCCACATACTATATCTTAGAAGATAGTTCACAAATACTAGAGCATATTTCATAGATCCTAGATATTTGACGATAGATCACAGATCCTTGATCATACTGTATTTCCCAGATGAGAGCTCCTGCATTTTGGAGTCTAGGTCTTATCTAGATTTTGGTTACTAAAGTTGGGTGTAAAGCGATAGATACTTCTAGTTAGCAATTCAATATGGTTGATTACTTGATAGAGCTTGATTGATGATGACTGAAGTGCAAATATGTTTCTTTTTGATTATGCTCATGGATGCAGTATGCATAGGTACGCTAAATTTATTGAACATGAGCACGAAAAGCGCGAAAAGTTTGCCAATGAACATCAGCGATTGAAGTGTGCACAAAATGCCGCTTCAATCATGATGTAAGGTTAGTGGCGAAGAGCTTGCGGCAAACATTTATGGCTTGCATTATGCAACATGGCCCAGATAAATGCGTGCGGCACAGCTGGCGCCACAGCCAAAGGACATAAATTTCATGTGTTATCGATAAACGATAGCCGTCATCCATTGGCCATCGGCCATCGGCCATCGATGGCTGGCAAAATGCAAACGTGTTAACAACGCGCATTTTACTGTTCGCACGAAAGAGTTAGCTGGTGTGTGCTGCATGTGTGCGAGCGAGATGGCAACAGAATTGATTTATGGCCGAGTGCATATTAATATGGCGTTAAAATATGATGCCAAAAATTTATGTGTGTGTGTGTGTGAAAAAAAAGGCAAAAAGAAATATAAGACCGAAACGAAAATGGCAGCGCCTGCAGCATACAGCAGCTGCTGGAACCACTGAGCCACAAGGACAGCACCACACTAAACATTATTGCCAGCGGCGGCTGCTGCTGGGGCTGCTGCTGCTGCTGCTGCGGCAACTGCTGCTCGCCCAAAGGAGCATCAGATTTATGGCGTTAAATTTAGCAGTCATGCGATTTATGGGGCCGGGTCGCACATTTGCGTTTGCAGCTAGCAAATCGCAGCCAAAAACCACAAAACGACTAACCACTCACTCACTCACTCTCTCTTTCTCTCTCCTTCTCTCTCTCTTTCTCGATGCTTGGTGTTGCCCGCGTCTCGCAGCAGTCAGTTCGATGAAACCGAACATGGACAGCTCGAATTGTATCCTAGTCCAAGATGTCAAGTCGCAGCCGCACGATCTGCGGGGCGGCTCCGGCGGCAAGGGTGGCGACAACAAGGCGCAGGCGGGCGGCGGCGGTGCCACCGCCTATCCCACGGAGGAATCGATACAGACCAGCACCTCGGATCATGCAGGCAACAGTGGCGGAGGAGCGGCCGGAGCTGGCAGCGCCACGGGCATACAGCAGCAACTGTTGCTCCAACAGCAGCAGCCGCACGCCATCAATCAGCCGCTGACGCCGTTGGACGCGACCAATACACAGCTGCAGGATCAACTGACTTATGGCGGTGCTGCCGGCGGCTTGGGCCAGCAGCAGCATAATCTGCTGCTGCAGCAGGCGGGCCATCATCATCCGGCGCTGCAGCAGCAGCAGGGCGTTGGCTTGAGCGGCGGCCAGTGGCCGCAGGTCGTGGAGCTGAAGGACTTCAATGAGCTCTACCATGCCACCATACCGGCCTATCAGTTCTGGACACTCGAGTTTCGCAACAAGCATCCGGCCTTCATTCGGTTCAACTTTACGCTGCCCTGGGGCGCCCACTTCGCTGTCTACTCGCGCCGCAATGTGGCGCCGTCGGTGACACAGCACGATTTCGTGGAGTTCATCAAGGGCGGACGACTCGATAGCCACTTGCGACATCGCCGCGACGCCGGTAACGTGACCCACAATGCCAAGGACCTGGGACTGACTGCAGTTTATGAGAAGGAAAAGGCGAAGGAGAAACAGCAATTGCAACTGCGACGTCGTCGACGCAGCAACAGCTCCGAGGAGGACTTGGACCAGGAACAGGAACAGGAGCAGGAGCTGGATCGTGCCGAGGATGACTTGAACGATAGCAGCGATGAATCACCCACTGGCCTAGACTCGGCCGAATACTTTGAGGGCAAGACGGTCACAGTGGCGCATGCACTGAACAAGCGCTCCGCAGCTGATGGTGGTGCTGGTGGTTTGCCCGCTCTCGATATGGACGCCATGACCGTGAATGTGTCGCTGCTGCAATATCTGGACACTGGCTTGTGGTTCATATCCGTTTACAATGATGAGCTCGTCGCCCATTCCGTGTCGCTGCTCGCCGAGGAGGCCGAGGGCGTTAGCACCACCTGTCCGAATGATTGTTCGGGACGCGGCAGCTGTTATCTGGGCAAGTGCGATTGCATCGATGGCTACCAGGGCGTGGACTGCTCCAAAAGTAAGTACAACTGCCCATCTAACTAATGCCCACATCCTTCACCCTCCCCCTTTCCACCGGCTCGCCCGTGACCCATGTCCACTCTGCAGCTGCAATTTAAATTAAAAACTTACGCCAAAGTTGAGCTGTCAACATCACCTGCTTCTGTTTGTTTTGGCACCCCAGGCAGACCCACCCAAAGCCGAAACCCAAATCCACTCGCAATGCGACCCTCAGCTCTACTGCTCTCTATGACTCACATAGCCGTTCGTTTGCTTAGCACGCACAGTGGTGCGTAGTGCCAGGTCTATGCCTGAAAACAAAAGATCGATACTCGTTTCGATAACAACTATACATCGATTAATTTTTCTAGTTAAACTAGTTAACTATGATTAAAGTCTGTTAATATCGATAATATTTGATCAATAAGATCCTAAAAGTGAGCAACAGTTGATATCGATAACATTTGATGAGTTAGGCACTTCTGCTGTCTAAAACATAATCAATTCAGAGGGATAATGTTACAAATTCCTAGACAACCTTACGATACATATATCGATAACGCAAATTATCGACATTATTATCATTATCGCATAGAAAACCTGCTTATAATAACTCACTTATCCGATTACAACTATCAGTAAACCTAGAATTTGAATGTGGTGGTAGTTGATGTTATCGATAACATTTTCATGCACGATCTTGAACAAAAACAGTTATGGAGCTTTTAGATAACACTCAGAACTCTTGTATTTCAAAGTGAAAATCACTGTATAAAGTTAGATGTGTTTTGTGTGTTATCGATAAACGATAGTTTGCATTAGAAACGTTGCTTGCGCATATCCATTTTGTCTATATGCCATGGCTTTTATTCATGTATAAAATGAATAATATCTCCAGCATTACAACAACAAATTGTAATTCGATAAATCGATATGCGTTTTAAACGTGCTTCGGTAGTCAATTTCATTTCAATTTATTGCCGTTGCGTCTTTTGCCTTTTTAATAACAAATTAAAATTTCAATTGAATTTTGTTGGCTTTTCCTGCCTGTTTTGTTTTCACTTTGTTGTTGTTTCTTTTTATTGTTTTTGCCCCACTGTGCCGTAAAGTATTTTTATTATTTATTTACAGTGCGCACTGCTTCCTCCTCCTCTTCCCTCTCCCTCTCTCTCGTTCTCTTTCCTTTTCGTTTTGGCTTTGTCTGACACTTTTCAATACCAATTTTCGTTCTACTTCAGTTTGTCGCTCACACTCTCCCTCTCTCTCTCTCTCTCTCTCTGTCTGTCTCTCTTTAATATTTGTCCACTTTGACTCTTTGCAGGCGTTTGTCCGGTACTCTGCTCGGCTCATGGCCACTACGGCGGCGGCGTCTGCCACTGCGAGGACGGCTGGAAGGGCGCCGAGTGCGACATACCCGTGGGCGAGTGCGAGGTGCCCAATTGCTCCAGCCACGGCCGCTGCATCGAGGGCGAGTGCCACTGTGAGCGCGGCTGGAAGGGACCCTACTGCGATCAACGTAAGTGTCAGAGCAAAAACAAAAAAACAAAAAAAAAACAGCCACTCTCTATCTGTGTGTGTGTTAGAATATGTATGTGTATGTGTGTGTGTGCTGCTGCTGCTGACTTGGCATAAAAATGCTAAAATTATTTATTTGCCTTGTTTGCAATTTTCGGGAACTGTTTTCGGTCCCAGGCCTTTTCGCCCAAATGTTGACTTTGGGCTCCGATAAGGCAGCAGTTGCCACTATTTTGTGGACGGGCGGGGCAGCAGCAGCAGCAGCAGCAGCAGTAGGGGCGTGTCCTGGTGACGCCAAAATATTTCAGTTATTATGCCGCCCCAACGTTTAGTTCGTGTGTTGGATGTGCTTTTATTTTATTTTGTTTTTATTTATTTTTTTTGCTTTGTTTTTTTGTGGTCTTTCAATTCCAACAAGGGCAACCGGGCGACGTTGCATACTTTTTGGGGCGCACATGGTTAGGGCGAGGGGAGGAGTGGTAGTGGCAGGGTCAAGGGCCTCTGGCTGCGTCAATTAAAGCACTTGACTCTCACTTGGCTGTTTAACGCTCGCTTCAGCTGCTGCCGCTGCCGCTGCCCCAAACAAACTGACAAAGTAACAAAAAAAGAACGTCGAAAAAAATTGGAAGTGCATAAAATATGCAGCACACACTTACAAACACACACACACACCCACAGAGAGAGAGGCGCAACAAACATGTGTATATACTCCTGGTGGGTTGAATGCTTCTACATGTGATTGCTTGTTGCCCACTCCATGTTACGCGTGTGTGTGTGTGTTGACTGGACCCTTGGCATACAAAACAAGCGAACAACAAACAGAATAAACAACAGCAACAACAACAGCAGCAAGAACAACGACAACTACAAAGCAAACATAAAACGTATAGAATCGAATTTATATGTCGAAAGCATATTTCACATACAAAACGCTCAACAAGCCAAGACCTAGAAGTTAAAGAAGAGCAAGATGGAGAAGAAGGAGAAGAAGAAGTAACAAAAACACAAAAAAAAGTGTGCAGAAAAAGCTAGGGCAGCCGAAGCAGGCAAGAGAAGTGGGACAAAGCGAGAAGACAGCAAGAGAGAAGGTATTAGCAAAATTATAGAGTATCGGTCGCTGAGCTCATTAGCTGTAGAGAAAGAACTTGACATGCTCTAAGGATTGTAATATCTGTAAGGCGAGAAAGAACTTGAAGAACTCGAAGGATAGTAATGTCTGAGAGCCGAGCAAGAGCTTACAGAACTCAAAGGATTGTAATATCTGAGAGCCGACAGACTCAAGAGCTATAATAGATAGAACTTGATATTAGAATTAAAGCAATGTCGATAGGAAATAAATGGGATAGGAAATAAATAAACAAGAAAACAGTATATGGTAGATATATAAATTATCTACATAATAAAAAGTTCAATACAAATAAAAAAAATAAAAAAAATAGTAATAATAAAATTAAAGTCTGGAAAAATTATTAAATTGATGGGAAAGAAAACTCTACTTCAACTCAGATCTCCTAATATAGAAACCTAATTTTTGATAATAAAACAATTCAGCTAAGATTTGTACATAGAAATACATATATGTATGTGTAAGCACATGTATATTCAGTTAGATGAATATAAAATATTTATATTCAAGTCGAAAATTGTTATAACAATATCAAAGCTCACGCAAGCGCCAAAATGTATATATATATATATATATATATATATATATATATATATATATATATAT